TTGGCTAATTTTTTTTTTTAATTCATGACATACGAGTGATTGCTCTCCAGTCTAGTTTGGAATTTGAAACTTGTTTAAATAAAGGGGAAGAACATTTTAACTTGTCCCCATTTGGTCCTGTAACCAAAGCTGTCCATCTTCTGAGGAGCCCTAGGAGGGTAGTAAAACACTGGAACAGGCTACTCAGAGAGGTGGTGGACTCTCCATCCTTGGAGGTTTTGAAGATGCGGCTTGACAATCCTTGGCTGGGATGATGTAGTTGGGGCTGGTCCTGCTTGGAGCAGGGGGTTGGACTAGATGTGACCTCCCGAGGTCCCTTCCAGCCCTCGTTGTCTATGATGCTATGATCTGAACCAGAAGTATAAAATGAACCCACTTCCCATTGCTGGCTCCAACCCAGGACCAAAATGAAAAGGGCAGGGCCCTTCTCTAACCTGAGATTTGAAGGGCCTGGTCTATGAGAGAAGCTGGTTACTCTATACCGGCTGTTCATTGTTCCTTGTGAAGCAAGTTGGGGGTCCTCTGCTGAGCTCCCAGTGAACTAGCGTGCACATCCAATAGCCACCATCACCATTGTATGTGGCATTCATTGGCACAATTTTACATCCTCACTGGAGCAGAAAGGTTAAGGATTGAGTGCCCTATCCCTTCTACAAGTGCATCAAACACACTGCTGGGTTGTTACTCTTCCCTTTGCTCCCAACCTACTCAGATTCAGTGAAGCCTGCTTGAAATAAATGAAATTTGGAAAGGATTCCCCCCTCCATAGTGCAAAGAGGAGCATCGGCAAAAAGCAGCTGCTAAGGAAGCTACCACAGCATTGCAGTCACCCCATGTCTGCCTCAATATTGGGCGCTAAGGCATGTTAGTGAAGTCTCTAAAAGGGAAAGTTCAAATTAAGGAAAGAGAAGAAAGGACCTTGCTTTGTTAAATCAGAGACAGCAATTCACAGGTTGCAAATTCCACCCAAAGGCCACATTCAGAGATGTAGAAAATCCATGCGACATGGTCCCCACTGCTATTTTAACTCAAGTTAAGATGTGTTTTCTTTGCCAGCCCAAACTTACCCTATGCTATACATATGAGAGCGTTCAGTCTGACTTACCCACCGGGAGAGGTTGCAAGAAAACCACCAGGAAAGTGGAAAGAGGAATACAACAAAACAGGCAAACTTCTTTGTCTTAAACACTGCTGCTGGCAGCTTTCTAGCAACTTCCTTCCACCTGTCGCTGGTGTAATGCAGATGAGAATCTGGCCTGCAGGTGTGTAACTTGCACCTCTTCTCCTCATCCCTCAGTTCGGCCCCAAGGAAAGGTGCGAAGAAGGAAAAATCAATAAAGGTTTCCATGTCAGCAAATTCCCCCCAAGCCTCCAGGAAAGGAATGGCCAAAAATGAAACAAAAAGCCAGAACCCGTCTGCAGCAGGTACCAGGAGCCGCTCGTGTCCCTGCCCTGCTCCCGCACTCACCACCGCGTGTTTTCTATAGAAACAATGGCCATCCCACCCAGGCACTTGCACTTGCACAAAGCAGCCCGAGGTTTGGTTTCATGGTAATTAGGGCTGTGGTCAGACTTGGCCCTCCCCAACTTCTTCCTGTGGTTTGGATAACCCTGTCTTTAAAGACGCTATATCTGGATGGAAAGCTCCACCCTTTCTGCTAACAGCAAGGCGATTCCCAATGTAAACCTTTGCTGGGCATCACATAATGTTCTGCAAGACGATTGTGTGATTGACCATGCCCAAACTGGTGCAACTGGTAATGGGGCACGTTCTAAGAATGGAAGGAGATGGCCTAGAAAAGGATTTGAAGGAAGGTTGTCTGCCAGGAAAGAAAACCATCAACTCAGAGAAAAGTAGGGAAGGAAGAGGGGTTGGAATGGGGGTCATGAAGACCTAGATCTAGATGAGGTGTTGTGAAAGTCATCATGAAGACCTAGATCTAGATGAGGGGTTGTGAAAGTCGTCATGAAGACCTAGATCTCGATGAGTTGTTATGAAAGTTGTCATGAAGACTTAGACGATGGAACTGGATTACTTAAGCATTCAATGGCCAGGCTGACAAGAGACAGGGCCAAATGGAGAGCACTTGTCCATCATGTTGCTCATGCTCTTGATGAGAGAGCACTTGATCAATTAAGTAACTGAATTCACGCTCAAATAGCCCTCTGGGGCAATTCAGTGCTATCCTCACCATATAATATGCATTGGTGTATTCAAACTTAAGTCTGCCCTTCCCATCCGTCTCTCGCCTGGGAGCAAAGTAGGTGAAGGAGGAGAAGAGACCGTCTACGTTACATTTGGTGCCTATGCATGCACCAAACCTGGAGATGCAGCCGTGAGCAGAGACCGGCTTCACCAGAGATAACACTGCATGATGTGATGGTGCTGGCTTGCTCGGCAGGTGAGTGCACAGTCATCCCAGTCCCACACCCTTCACCTTGGGTATGTCCTTGTCTCACTGGCAGCAAGGCTGCCATGACCCAAAGTAATCAGTTAGTTGGCTAGCATGGAGAGTTACCAGCAAATGTGAAGGGAAACAAACCAAAGTATTGTGAAAACTGGTCAGCCAATATATTTCTTATAGTCATTCCAGCTTCAGATGGAAATCTGAGATGACTTATTCTCTGTGCGCCCATCTACCCATGCCAAGGTTCCTCCATTCACTTTGCCTTGCCCCTTAGGAGCTTTTTAATCAGATACCAGTGCATGAATTTGCAGAAATGTGCCTTTTTTAGGTCTTAGAATCATAGACAATGAGAGTTGGGAGGGAGCTCGGGAGCTCACATCTAGTCCAACCTCCTACTCCAAGCAGGACCAGCCCCAACTACATCATCCCAGCCAGGGCTGTGTCTAGCTGGGCCTTAAAAACCTACAAGGACAGAGACTCCACCACCTCTCTGGGTAACCCCAGTGCTTCACCACCCTCCTAGTGAGAAAGTTTTTCCTAATATCCAACCTCATCTTCCCTTACTGCAGCTTGCGACCATTGCTCCTTGTTCTGTCATCTGCCACCACTGGCTCCAACTGAGAAGAGTCTAGCTCCAGTCTAGTCTCCTATCCGGTGGGCCAGACCACCACTCATGTAAATAGATATCACTCACTCTCAAACCCTTGGTCTCTAGTAGTGGTCTCTGGCAGACACGGGGGATGAGTCTGGAGCAGCCTGACTGCAAAGCTCCCAGCTCTGGAACAGGTCGGTGGACTCAGTTGGGTAGGATAGGCTCAGTCCTACCTCCTCCATGACCCACCACCACAATACTGAAAAAGGATCAGCAGTGAACTCAACCCTGACTAACCCCTGTGCAGCTAACTAGCACTAGTTGTGCATCCTCTGCTAGGTGCAGAGCTGCTCTCTCCTCCTTCCTGGCAGATATTTGGACCTACCCCCCTGCATAGCAGCCACAGCCATATCCAGGATTAGGCAGCTGACGTCCCATAACACCCCCCGACACACTCCCAACTCCTCTGAGACAAGCCAGGTTCATCTGAATGATGCCTATGCAGGGGGTTCATTCATCTGAATGAACTGCCTATGCAGGGGGTTGGACTCAATGATCTATTGAGGTCCCTTCCGACCCTAACATCTATGAATCTCTCACTTCCACGATCCTAAGGCTCCTAACCACAGGACCCTGGCAGCTCAGGATGCAGCTAAAGGCTGGGGGAGCTGCAGAGCATGCAAATGACAGGAGCAAATGAGCACAGCCCATTTAACAGGGAGCCTAGATAAGGCCTCGCTCTCAGCTGAGCAGAGGGAGCACTGTTTAAGTGCTGGAGTTAAAGTCCCTCTTCCTCTGCGCAGCCCGACATTGCAACAGAGAGGTTTTCTCATAAAAAACGGCAGCTTAAACTGGAGGGGCCAATGTGGCTGGATGGTGGGGGCAGGTTGTTAGAAGTCACCCGTCCAGCTTCTATTCATGACTCAGCCACAGACTTGCTGGGTGCCTCAGTTTCCCCACCTGTAAAATGGAGGTATTGGAGATGAAAGGTGCTGCATGCATGTTATTTGTACTTCTCTACTCTAATCTTAGCTGAAGGAAAAGGCTGGACTGAGAGTAGGAAGCTCTTTGTAACCCATTTCCCATCCTCATTACTTCAGCGCATCCAGTTTGAGGAATTCCTGATGCCTGGCTCCCTGCGGCAGACCCCTTCTGCTCCTAACAAGGCTGTCCCTGAGCTTGGCAGCCTCGCAGGGCAGCTAGCAAGCGAGCCCCTCTGCCTTTGAGCAGAACAGCGGCTGGTCCAGTAACCAACTGCACAGCAAGGACACCAACAAAAGCAACGCACCCTGAGGAAAAAGCTTGGTCATTGCAACACTAATTAGTGGCTGATGCCAAATGGGTGGGTGCAAGGAAGGAGCCAGGGAAGGCAGTGGGGTGGGTACACAGTTCATCATTGTTCTCCAAGGACAAGAAAGCAAACTGTTTATTCCTACCAGGCCCTGTTCTCTTTCCAGGTGCACCCATAAGCTGAACTGGATTTTTACTACTTTGCTTTGTTAGTGGACCAGTCTCTCCCTCTATTGTACAGCCGACGGGTTCTTTATACTTCCTTCACACCAGCTATATCACTGCTTATTTTCTTCCTGCATAGTCACACACCTTTTTTCTGCTCTCTGGCTCCTACACAGTCACTTACCCTTGTTTCTGTTCTCTGACTGAGCAACATTTTATTAAACAGGGTGACATCATTTCCTCCCTGACCGGTAAGTACCCACTTCCATCAAAAATACCTTTGCTTGCAGATAAATACAGAGCAGTCACTCCTCAAAGACCTAGTCATACAAACTCTGGCAGAAACCAGATAGAAAAGGGCCAAGCATTAGCTGAACCAACATTTTTTTTTTTTAAATGCAAGTGAATATTCCCATCTCCTGCACTACTCTCTCAGCATTACACATCACAAACCTTGTAGGACAGTCTCTCTTTGGGGCTAGCTGCAGCACAGGTCAACAAGGTGGTTTTCTGCAAGAAATTTCTGTTTCACGCGTGCATTGCCATTTGCCGGTTGGTTGGACGGGCAGCAGAAGCCTCCTGGGAACCTAAAGGAATTAAGACAAAACAGGAAATTCTTTAATACTCAAGAAATCTGCAAAGGGAAGGGCATGAACCAAACCCCACTGATCTGCCCCATCGAGCTCTAATCTATTTGAAGCTGAGCGATGCATTCATACTCTAACTCCGGAGACAGCCCTGGTCATTGCTTTTACTGCTGAATACCAGGGTCCAATCCAGTTTGGATAAAATCCGGCTCTTTCTCAATCTTCCCTTGAAGGCACTGAGTTTAAGAGGCCTCGGTAATCACTAAGGCTCATATGAGTAGAAGGTACCTTGAATCGTGTAGCACTGGGCCCATATAACACTCCCACTTGCAAAATGGAGCGGGATATATCATGAGAAATGCCTGCACACGCTGGGTGAGATGTTAGCATTGCCAGTGAAATTAGTAAGTGTAAAAGGGTGCAGAGGAATTGCAACGGAGGGTAGATTTGGCATTGGGTCCAGGTCTAGGGACAGAGAAAGGTCCAGCCTGGCCCTTGGGGCTCCTCAGCCACCTTTTGCATTGCTATTTTTCACTCTTTGGCGGGCATAAGCTGACATTTTGGTTGTCCAAGTGCCCAGACTTTGCTGAAACGCTGACATGAGTCACTTGGTTGGGTCCCACCGGTCACCTCGCTCAGAAGGGGCAAACTCCTTTCTTTCCACCTCCCTACAGCTCCTGTCTCTGTTCCACCCAGCTGCAGGTTCGTGTTAGGCAGCTGTCCTGCGCTACATCAGTAGAGGATAAAAATAATTATCCTTAAAGGCAATCCAAACACTGCAATTTCCTCTTTCACTCACTACCTAATTAATAGTTTCCAGGTCACCATGGCCTTTGAGAACATCTGTTTGTTTTCACCACGCTCAGGGAAAGTCAGCGCTGTTTCGAAACAGGCATTTGAGATTTTTACGGGGTTTGGGGTTTTCTCCTTTTCTTTTTTCCTTTCTCTTTTTTGTTTTGTTTTAATGTTCTCGTGCTACGTGAGGACTTGGAAGTATATTCTTTACGGTGTAAAGGCACGCGCGCACACACAAAAGATGTATAGTCAGGGATATGAAGTGCATGTGTAAATAATTAACACATAATCATTCATCTGTGCCGTCATGCTGTGTGCGCTGAAGAGCTGGAGGGTGCTTTAGTTGAAAGCGCACATAAGCTACGGGTGCAAAGGGCTCCCACATGCCCAGCAGCTACAAAATTAATAAAGATCTACTGTAAATATGGAAGGAAAGAGGCCAATAGGAACTTCCTCCTAATTCAGGAGCAGCCACGTGGAGGGGCTGTTTTGGGACCCCAATTTCCGTTTGCAGGCATGAGCTTTGTTAGATGCTGCTAACTGCACCAGCAGTCTTCCCTGCCCACGTGCAGGGGGGCTGGACCTGATGATCTGTAAGGTCCTTTCAGCCCCTAACAATATGAAACTGCACCCACAGGACTGGGACTTCAAGGGAAAATGCCCACTTGTTCAAAGTCTGGAGGTGCTGGTGCATCAGCTGCATGCCCATGAGCTGGATGTGCACGAAGAGAGGCAAGTCTGACAATCCCATGGGAAGCCCCATGCTGAATAGCAGGGGAAGACACCCCCACCCCCACCCCACAGCTTGATCCAGTGGCATTTATTCTAGCCGAGACCAGCAGTGCTCTTATAAGGCAGCCGACAGAGCTGGACAATGCAGCCAGGCTGCCTGAGAAAGCAAGAAGCTGGGAGAGGGCGAGCGGATATGCCTTCAGCTGAGTTGTGAAGCAACCTGGAGAGCAGGGATCCTGGTTTGCTCTGATAAAAAAAAAAAAATCCCCAATTTTTGAGTTGAAAGAGTAACCTGAACTCCACATTTTTCCATGATTAAAATGAAATGCCACTTATACATACATATATACACATATCTCTATACACACACATCTATCTATATACATACACACACATATCTATCTATGTATCTATATCTATCTATTTATATATACACACATACATCTATATACATACACACACATATCTATCTATCTATATCTATATATACACACACGCACACACATATCTATCTATACACACACACACATATACACATATCTATCTACATACACACACATATCTATCTATGTATCTATATCTATCTATTTATATATACACACATACACACATCTATCTATATATATGCACACACATATCTATCAATCTATTTATATATAGATACACATATCTATCTATAGATGAATAGATAGATAGACAGATAAGTATGTGTATCTATGTGTGTGTATAGATATAGATATATCTAGTGGTATTTAACTTTGATCACAGAAATGTGGATTTTGGATTATGTTTTTTAACCCCAAAATTGGGGATTATATTTTAATCCAAGAAAACCCGGATCCTTGCTGATGAGACCGTGGAGTAGAGAGGAGCCACTCCAGAGAGCAGGGGCTGAAGCTAGCAACCAGTGTCAGGCATGCAGAACCACGTGGTTTCCTTTACACCGAGGTGCACAAGGTGTACACACATGCCACACACATACCCGGGTAGCAGGTGACACCTCTGTACTTTGGATACTCACCCAAACCCATGACATTGCACTGCCCATTCTGAGCACAAACCACCCTCCCCAGAGAGCATTTATCACAACTTAGACCAGGTTGCCACAAACAGCCTCTTTGGCTGCCTTCCCTTCCTCCCTGCATGCAAGTTTTCCGGCAGCAAGCTCACACACACCCAGCAGCACGGCTCCTGCTTTCCCCAGCGCTCCCCACCCAAGCTCCTAGCAGGCAAACTCCCCTAGAGGTATGTCAGTACCTTAATTAATCCACCCTTCTTTAAAGTGCTGAGCCTGAACAGACCCAGCTGCATCTAATGAGCTTCCCAATTGTGATGATTACCTCTGTGAGCTCTCCCTCAGCCCCAGCTAGTAACTAACCCCCAAATCCATGCCAGCTGCTTGCTCTGGGAGGGGTTTCTCCTAGGAGGTGCTGCTCAAGTGTCCTGTCCGTCCCATAAGTGGTTTTGGTACAAGTCTGGGGCTTGGAAAAACCAGGCTCTGGCACACACTTTCTGTGCGAACCAGGGCAAGTCATTTAGCCTCTCAGTGGCTTAGTTTCTCCATCTGTAAAATGGGCATACTTAGGACTTCCCTACCTCTCATGGGAGTTGTCAGCATACATGTGCCAAAGACATTGAGATACCGTGCTAATGGAGACCAGATAACCACCATAAATCATTAGCAGGACTGCACCGAGTATAAAACGCAACTATTATCAAACTGTTTACTGCCCTAGCCACATCACTATACAGGCAGGGGACACAACTGGGACCAACAGTGAAAGCTCCCGATCCCAAATTATCCTGATTTAACCATGGCTCCCGATTCCAAATTATCCCGATGTAACCATGTCTCCCAATCCCAAATTATCCTGATTTAACCATGGCACTTAAGCACAACACTCCAGGGCTTTGACTTCCCTAAACCCTCTCTCCACTTGCCCCAGCTGTTATAGAGGTGCAAAATCTAGCACAAACAAGAGGATAAAGTGTCGATTGAATTTGCTGTTTCAAGACGAGTCTCATTTAAAAATGCCAAGCTGTGTGTGCCCTTCTGTTTACCGCAGGCCAGCAAAATAACACGTACTGTCTGGACTTGCTAAGGCTTTGGAAATGTGTGCGCCTAGTGAATGCTCAGAGGCAAACCTTCATGATGGATGGTGTTTTAATGCAATGTAACTTGGACACTACATAGTTACTGGGCCATTTACTTGGCTGTTTTCATTTTCCACTGATTTTCTCAAGCATCGGATATTAACATTAACCAACCATGCAAGAACCTATCAACAACATGAAGCCTTCATTGTATGCTTTCCCCCGGTGCCGGTAAGACCGTGGCAGAGCCCTGGTTTCGATTCCAGACCCACATATAAATCTGGGACGAGGACTCGGTGAAGCCAGAGTCCCTCTGCACCCTAACCGCATCCACTCAAAGGAAATGCACTTTTCCTCTGTCAAGTATTCTCCATCCAGGTAATAAGGAAGCTTGTGGGCTCATTGAAAGGATATAAATCTGCCTTGGCAGGCAATGAATTGCGCCGTTCAAAGCTGCACCATCTAACCTTTGTGAAGTAACTGCAGGGCTATGGAAGGATCGGACCTGCCGTCTGTCGATCGGTGGCTCTCAACCTCTCTGGACTCAAGGCACTGGGTTTGAAGTGCCCCCTCCTGAGCCTCAAGACACCCCTCCATGACCGTTGTGAACTGTATGGCCACCAGGTTCAAAAATCAATTTATAATAATGTTACTATAACTTAATGTATTTACATTCATCCTTAGAATTGATTAATTATATATATTATAATTCATTTATAATATAATCATAATATGCATTGATTGTCTTAACTGGCGGCCATTCAATCTATATAAATTGTATAGATTACAGTGTTTTACCTCCTTATGTAGGGGCTGGGCAGTAAGGATGGAGGATCATCCAGGCAGGGACAAGTCTCATCTGCTTGGCTTCTCTACTTATCCCTTCACACCTCGCAGCACCCTTCAAAGGATCTGGTGGCACCCCAGAATACCTTGGCCTTGGTAAAAGAAATGCAAAACTTTAGACCTCTTGGTTGAGAGATGAAACCTTTTATTAGACCAACTAAGAAATTGCAAAAAAATCTTTTTCTGCAGGAAAAAAATTATTTTAGTTGGTCTAATGAAAGATATCATCTCTGAACCAAGAGGGCTAGAGTTTTGCATTTCTTTTTTGTCTCAGATGAGCACAGATACAAATACACCCCTGACAATGGTAAAGTTCCCATTGACTCCACTGGAAAAGGAGCAGGCACTGGATGGACATGTTCTTCTCCCACTGAAACCAGCTCTAGGTTTGGGAGCAGATGAATCGAGAGGCAGCCCTTGACTCAAAATCAAGCTTCATATGCAAGCAGTGTGCAAACACGGATCCGTGCATCCCCACAGCCGGACACAGGTGTTACCCTCCCCATTTTTCCAGTGGAAAAAGAGAGGCAGAG